TAAGTAGCTAATTACTTTGCGACCGTTAAAACAGTATGTTCTATATAGTATGAATGTGTGTAGTATGAATGTAATCTGGATGTACTACATTCACCATGTTGTTATTATCATGTGCCGCTTCACTGCCATTCACAAATCCTCTCCCGCTGCCTCATGGGATAGTAAAGTGTACGCACACTTCAGAATCTCACGAGGAGTTTTCTCCAAATGTTTTTCGAATACTATGTATTCGGACATACTACTCTGTTGACGTGCTGTTTTTCACATGCTATATAGTAGGGAAGAAGAAACCACATTTATGATACAGTTGGTGTCAGATTTCATTGGTGATTTCAAATATGAAATTTAATTGTAAGCTTGGTGAACAGCTTTGCCCAATACTTGCATGACTGAAAAGATGGCCGCCGCATGAAAGGGACTTTGGTACTGATCCATTTGGTTGTGAGTGCAGTGTGCTTGCAGAGAGACTCCGCCCACAAACTCTTCTGATTGGCTATAATTTTTTGATTGATTTTGTTGCTTTTTCTGATTGATTCTTTGATTTTGTTTTACTGGTGTGGACAGAAAAATTGCTTCATGTCTGGTTAGAACACGGTGAGGGTGAAAGATTTCCCCATTCAGTTTTCACAACTGGTTCAGTTGGTCATACGAATTCACTACATTGACCAACAGAAATCTGCTAGGCTGCTTGTTGAGCTGTACTTCATACATCACTACACTATTGACAATAGATAATGGATGTTTTTTACTAACGTAATCTGCTGCACTTAATGACCTGAGTAGTTGCCTACTTGACTGCACGACTGGGCATGCAGAACGGTGAAACTAGAGCTTGTGCTCTGGAGGTGAAAAAAGATCCTTGTCTAATGGAGCTGGAGGAAGTGGGACTCGAATTCTGCCCCGAGACGGAAAGATGAGCTGCCCGTCTGCTTGACACAGCCCCACCTCATATCGACCCGGCCGAGCGCTCCTCTAAATATCTGTCAATCGATGGAGACTCACAAACAGTGAACTCACACTCTTAGTGTCGCAAGAATGATTAGCAAACAAGGTTGTGATTAGCAAAGAACACTAGCATTGACTGACTGAGCCGGCTAATATGAGCTGATACGCTAGTTGAACCATTAAATGTGGATTATATAATCCAGATACCATGTATTTATGCTTGTGGGATGCTTTGTTTGTGTGCATATGGCAGATTATCCGTTCTGCACCTTTTAAGTAGGTTGATAATACATCCCACCGGAGGCATCAGATAATAAACATTCATTATCAGAGCGCGGCCGGCGGCGTTTAAAACCCCATATGCACTTACCAGGCAGGAGACTAAATATACTTAAGAGCTCTAAACCGCTTCTTCAATAAGCACTACCAGATATATTCTTGGCCTTTACGGCGTAGCACCACATAATTCACTCAGCTCAATAAGAGCTCGACTCGCGGGAGATCTCGAATGTTATGAGCGCCGGCTAGAAACCTTGAGATCAGCAACAATGACAAACAAAATGCCTATTTCACAGACAGACAGCCTTCTTTTCATCAACATAAAGGGATTAGCTGCAAACTCAGACACGCTCTTGAGGGAAAAACGATACAGCGATATGTTATGATGATTTTACTGCAAGGGAGCTTCTTTCAGTTTAATAATGCAGATGCATTTTTTTTCATGTATAAAAACCCATTTTTATAACAATAGTCTTTATAACAAAAACATTTAAAATATATATATATATATATATATATATAATTAGATCGATTAATTGTGACAAATTTTGTAAACAAATCGATTAATTGTGATTAATGACATCTAATGTAGTTAGAGTTTGTATTTATATAATATATGTGTATATACGTATATGAAGACTTCAGATGCAAAAGCCTCTAAGTGCCATCTGAAATTTTCTTCTAGAGTGATCATTTTTATCAAGCTTGTATGTTTATGTTCAGTTATTTCACTTTAATGGCAATGAAAATTACCTATTGATTGTCATTAAAGTGAAATTACTGAACCTAAATATACGAGCTTGATAAAAATGCTAATTTTAGAAGGAAATTTCAGATGGCACTTAGAGGCTTTTGCATCTGAAGTCTTCATATATATATATATACCTACATTACTGTCACTTTTGTGAAAAAAATCCTGTTCGATTTTTGAGACATAAGTGTTCATTGAATCGATTGTAAAATCGATTTTCCATCTAAAGACGTTTACATTTTCAACACCAAATATAGGCAAATCCACGGACACCTAACAGGCATTAGGACGAACGTAAAGAGGGCTTGAGACGCACAAGTCAGCAATATTCCTGATGATTTATTGGCGTGAAGTTTCGTGGACAATGACAAACAGGAGTGCAACATTCAGGGATTGAGATTAACACCCTCCGACCCGACAAATGTGGGTAAAAATGAACTTCGGCGGGGAACGCTGTCAAATCACGAGCCAATCTGGCGTGTTTCTGTGTTTACTTACTTTGCTGGGGAAGTTCGTGTAAGCCAAATCTGCGCGGATTTAGCGCAAATACGCAACTCGTGAGTCCTCATGAAATATTAATACAGCGTATTGCACAGAATCTGCGCATTTCTGGCTTTCTTGAACACACACGTCACTACGCAACAAATAACGGTGCGCTTGTTCACTTGCATTGAAGTAATAGCGAATATTAAAAAGCATTTGGTGAACAGAAAAGACATTATTATTTTTCAGCATCCTACATGTTCTGTGTACTGTATTGATCTGTCCACCTAAAACACATTTTTGGTTAAAAAAAGGCAGTTAAAATCGAATTCCCTATTTTCGTTTTCGAAACTTGTGTTGGTTGGTCGGATCGATTGTGCAATCGATTTTCGAACGTAAAGTGACAGCCCTACTACATATATATACACTCACCTAAAGGATTATTAGGAACACCTGTTCAATTTCTCATTAATGCAATTATCTAATCAACCAATCACATGGCAGTTGCTTCAATGTATTTAGGGGTGTGGTCCTGGTCAAGACAATCTCCTGAACTCCAAACTGAATGTCAGAATGGGAAAGAAAGTTGATTTAAGCAATGTTGAGCATGGCATGGTTGTTGGTGCCAGACGGGCCGGTCTGAGTATTTCACAATCTGCTCAGTTACTGGGATTTTCACACACAACCATTACTAGGGTTTACAATGAATGGTGTGAAAAGGGAAAAACATCCAGTATGCGGCAGTCCTGTGGGCGAAAATGCCTTGTTGATGCTAGAGGTCAGAGGAGAATGGGCCGACTGATTCAAGCTGATAGAAGAGCAACTTTGACTGAAATAACCACTCGTTACAACCGAGGTATGCAGCAAAGTATTTTTGAAGCCACAACACGCACAACCTTGATGCGGATGGGCTACAACAGCAGAAGACCCCACCGGGTACCACTCATCTCCACTACAAATAGGAAAAAGAGGCTACAATTTGCAAGAGCTCACCAAAATTAGACAGTTGAAGACTGGAAAAATGTTGCCTGGTCTGATGAGTCTCGATTTCTGTTGAGACATTCAGATGGTAGAGTCAGAATTTGGCGTAAACAGAATGAGAACATGGATCCATCATGCCATGTTACCACTGTGCAGGCTGGTGGTGGTGGTGTAATGGTGTGGGGGATGTTTTCTTGGCACACTTTAGGCCCCTTAGTGCCAATTGGGCATCGTTTAAATGCCACGGCCTACCTGAGCATTGTTTCTGACCATGTCCATCCCTTTATGGCCACCATGTACCCATCCTCTGATGGCTACTTCCAGCAGGATAATGCACCACGTCACAAAGCTCGAATCATTTCAAATTGGTTTCTTGAACATGACAATGAGTTCACTGTACTAAAATGGCCCCCACAGTCACCAGATCTCAACCCAATAGAGCATCTTTGGGATGTGGTGGCACGGGAGCTTCGTGCCCTGGATGTGTATCCCACAAATCTCCATCAACTGCAAGATGCTATCCTATCAATATGGGCCAACATTTCTAAAGAATGCTTTCAGCACCTTGTTGAATCAATGCCGAGTAGAATTAAGGCAGTTCTGAAGGCGAAAGGGGGTCAAACACAGATAGCATATTAGTATGGTGTTCCTAATAATCCTTTAGGTGAGTGTATATATATATATATATATATATATATATATATCTACATTTATTTTTAAAAACAAAGACTTCTATGTTAGATGCGATTAATCGTGATCAATTTTTCAACACTAATAAAATACAAAAATAAATGATAAATAATTATACAATTTTACAATGTTATAAAGACAAGTTGTTTCTCAAATCATCTTGGATTGGACTTGGCAAGTTATTAAAATATTTAATAATTAGTCAAATTCTAAATAAATATTTATTTTGTATTAATACATCTGTTTTCTACCACTATTTCAGTATGTATACACTATATATTGCAAAAGTAAAAAAAAAAACATTCTTCAAAAGCTTAGGCATTTCATTCAAGTTTCCAGCTTATAATGGTTCATTTTGAAGAAACCAACTGCAAAAACCTGATTTTATCCTTCAAAAAACCCTATCCACGAGCCTGAAGAACAATGCAAAATAACCTTGTTGTCATATCTGACAAATCCATGCAAACCCGTCTCACCAGAGACCAATTTCCACACTGCCGAAAATTTAACAGCAAGTCTAGAGGAAAAAAAATCCCTAGAGTGGCCTCGAAACAGACCGATGTGTTATACAAAAGCAAGCTACAGCGTATAATTATCAATCATGAGCAGTCAAAGGGTAATAATGGGGGTCTGAGATGCTGTTTTCATTTGCAACGCTGAACACAAAGAATAAATGGCTTCTGATTCCTGTTAGATACAGTGAGAACCCCTATTCATCTTCTCTGACGCCTCAAGTGCGCCGAGTCCATTTATCTTCTCACAAATAAAGTCAGCCGCCCTAACAATAACACGCCGAGAATGGATTGAGCGCCGGAGGGGACCCAAAACTCGACTCCTACTTAATACAAGTCTATCCGGACGACTGTCCTACCTCTCTCCAGTGTTCTGGACCGCACTCCTTCCCAGCGAAGTTGCACTCCAGCAGCATATCGTCCATGCGGTGACGGGTCCGGTTGAAGAACTCTGCGAGGCTGAATCGAGACCCTTGCCTGTCGGGCTCCGGGGCCAGAGGGATTCCCGGCGCCATGTTGTCCTCGTATCCCAGCAGTGGCCCCATGAAGAGCAGGTCGCTGTAGCTCATCTGCGAGCGCCGGAACGTGTTGATGTTGCAGAGCGTGATGGCGGGGAATATCATGTTCTTGGCGTTGCGCTCATCCAGCTGGGTGATATAGTCGTACTGCAGGTAATAGATGATGCGGTCCACCACCTGCTTGAGGAACATGGAGACCGCCAGCAGGAAGACCACCGTCCACATGACCCGGCGGACGCTTAGCTTGTCCTCCACAAAGACGTGGTTGCCGCCGTGGAGGGAGCAGCCGCCAAAAAAAGTGGTGAGGCTGAGGTCGGGTGCCTCTTCGTCTTCCGGCCCGTCGTACGCTTCCAAATCTTCGCCTTCCTCCTGGTACTTGGCATGCTCGCCATCTCTCGACCACCCCACTCGCTTGTAGTGGTCGTCGAAGCTGTCTTCGTGCGAGCGGCCGTCCGGCTCGTTGTCTGTGCTGAAGGAGATGGTGCATGTGATTCGTACCATGGTGTTAAACCAAAAACTGGTCAATAGTGAAATGAAATACACAAAAAAGGTGTTTGGTTACACTTAAAAAGTCACTTTGGAGGACATTCTAGATGAATCGTCAACCCCAGAAAAGCCAATCCAGATACTATGAATGGGAAAACATCACTGTTCTCTTCAGAAATGGTGTTGAGCGCTCTGACATCCCCTGTAATCTGTCTCTCCATCCGCATCGGGACATCTGAAGAGGAATGGCGCTGTTGGGATGTTATACACTTCATGGCCCCGAACTCCCTCCCTCGGACAGGGAATACTCCCAGTGCGACCTGCATCTGATGTCAGCACCAGATCGCATTTCACTGCGCATTTATGCCCTCACGTTCATAATCCGGGGTCGTTTGTATCTCATAATATCTGGTTCATGAATCCAGATGCACAGAGTCATGGGATTCTTTCCTAGGTGATAAAAAGCACAGCAGCCGTCATGCTTTGATATACTGAATATACTGAATGTGTCACCGCCCCAGCTTTATCAGCTCATAAATAAACACTCTAGAGTTTCGAGGAAAGCCAAGATATCAACATGCATGCATCATGGTGTGTGTGTGGCGGTAGCTCAGAGGTGAACAGATACTGTACGACGCCATGCATGAAAGCCTAAAGCACACTAACTCAAACCTGCGCATTGTCGTGATGCGCGTGTGCTTGTTTATTAGCTAGCATGCAATCGCTTTACTAAACTTCCTGTTCAAAGCAGCTCATGCACTGAAAAGGAAATCAGCACTTACTAATCAATTCTATCATCACAGTTCATGGAACACGAGTGGAATCTTGCATACATTTTGTGTTCATTTCAATGGGACAATTTGCACAAGAATGGATTTATTTGTTCAAATTAAGAAATTTACATAGAAATTCCACAAATAAGACCCCTCGTGATCAGCTGCATGTTTTCTATCCTAGATTGTGCAAGATTGATTCTGGCAGAATCAGAGAGTCAAGCATTCATTCGATTTATTTTCAAAGCACACTATTTGGAAGTAAAACGGAGGCGTTATTTTTAAGCACGGCTGCCTGTCTTTAAAATATACAGTGTCTCGTTGCACAGCTGCTCAATTGATCGATGTTGACTCGTGACAAACCTGAGTTTTTCTTTCTTTTGTTTGACTGGAGGAAATGACAGAATTCAACAGACTTTAACTGAACTCCTTAAGGGTGAAATTAACTTTGTGGTTTAGATGCAATGGAGCAAGAATGACTCTTGTCGGGAATAGTTATAAAAGCAAACTTAAATAAATGTTACTGTAGCATGAGACTATTTTCCAAATAGTGTTGTTTCCATAAAAAAGTTATATTTTCCAAAAAGCAGTATTTTAGCATGATATATAAATATAAAAAGAAATGTGGGGGGGGGGGGGGGGTTGTGGTGGGGGTGTTTGAGGTAATTATTAGAAATGCACCGATGTATCGGTCAATAATCGGTATCTGCCGATAAAAGCTATTATTTTCACTTTAAGTCATCGTTAAGTCATCGTCTGATTGTTTAAAAACAGCCAATGAACAGGGCCGATTATATCCTGTCAATCAAAAGGGTGTGGAAAGACATGTTCAGACTGCAACTCATACTGTGTGTGGAGAAAATCTCTCTTGTGTTGAATTAAGGGCTGATGAAATAATGCATTAACAGTTAAAAAATAGCTACATAAAAGCAGGCTCTATTTGACCCTATGAATCACCCGTAGTTCAAGCCAGGGTTGCCAAGTCCTAATTTTTTTATTTGTAGGACGCCTCTCATCCAAGAATCGCAATGAGCTTTATGCTCTGCAGTGTTGGGAAAGTTCACTTTCTACATGAACTAGTTCAAAGTTCAGTTCACAAATTTTAAAATGAACTAGTTCAGTTCATAGGTCATACTTCACAATTTTGAACTAAGTTCACGGTTCCAAAATTATATTTTTTTTACATTATTGCCACAACCCATATACAACCACTACAGCAATTATTTTATCGGCGGGCAAAGTTTGCACAGAAATGTAAAATTTTCACAGACACCAGAATGAACGTTGAGCGTTCAGGCACAACACTGATGCTCTTGTTACCTCTGATAAAAAACAAGGTCTCATCTTTCAAATTCAGTCCATTTTATCACGAAATTCAGATTGCTGTCTTTTCTTCCAATGTATAAGCTTGAAAAACATGCAAGACACAGTACAACTTACCGAAATCTGTATCATGTCTCAATCTGTGTTTCAATTGTGGAAATATGTCAATAAAACTGCTTGTGAACAATGTCACGTAACGTTACATTTACCTCAGGAAAGTTATCCAATGTTCACAGTTCTTTAGTTAGCAATAAAAAACAGAGAGAAGTTTATTTACTGGTAATTATATGTTTGAATAAATTTGTCATGAAGACAAGCGTTTATGAAAACTACCTTATGTGCAACCGAGTTGCATACAAACATTTCGGTTATCATTTCAGTGAAATTATTCTATATGATATATTTGAAAATAAATAGCAGTTGAATATATTACCTCTGTTGTTAATTGTAACCTTTAATATTATAGTGATGTACCAAATGAGAGGGTTCCCAGTATAGTTTACAGCATTATTTGGTAGAGATATTTTTCCTTAAGTAAATCAAACTATCAGTAGATAATCATTCTGAATAATTTGCTATCGTATTGGCGGAGATATGTCGTATCGGTGCATCTCTAGTAATTATCTAGCAATCTCCTAGAATGTCCCTTGCTTTCATATGTAGCTTTAGTAAATAAGCAGGAAGTTAAAACACAAATGCAATGGCTAATAAATAATAATGTTTTTTTTTTAAACATAAATATGTTGCCACTCTAATTGAGATACAGAACAACTGGTTTGAAAACAAAATGAATGAAAACTTAACCACAAAAACCTTTAAAATCTTCAACAATTCTTCTGCAAACTGCCTACTCATCATTTACAGTAGCTACAACTACAGTAAACTGCCCACAAAGTTTTACTGTGAAACTGTAGCGTTACTGTAGTTTAGCCACTTTAAATTATAAACAGCTTTTTGCATGAGAAACTAGAGACTCAAAGTAGCTAAAAATGTATAGTTGCAGGTCATTTAAATTACCTTTTCAAAATTGGCCATTGTTTTAGACCGACGTCCAATAAAAGCAAAGGCCATGCAGTCAGTCACCTTCCAAAAGCTGCCCAGTGCATCCTCCTCCAACAGATGGCAGCAGAGCTCAGCGTGTGAAGCATCCAGACCCCCTGCCAAACACGTTCCCCAATGTCGACCCACAACACTTGAAAATGCAATCAGTCTGATTGCCTGAAGCTGCCTCTGAAAATGAATTCTCAACATGCTCGTATATATTTCCCAAGTCTTCTCCAGAGCTCCTCAACAGGTTTCTCCACGCTCCATTCAATCTGCCCCTCACTCTTGAGGGAACGTACGGAATCAAAGAGAGATTTAAAGGAACAGCGCACTGAAAACAAAAATGTAATTTCTTGCTATTTACCAAGTTGTATTTGCTGAGTCAAGCACCATTATTGGTATTTCTCATACTTGTTGTGGTCATCCTCTCATTTAGGTCTACAGCAAACGCAAGTACTATCTTCTTCAGACACTAGGGGGCAGTAGATATGTTGCCGTACGGCGACTCTGTGCCTTCAGGGCGGGTATGTCATCTGAAGCGCATGGAGATGGTCCCTCATTTCCACTCAAGACCCTCTCGACCGTCAGCGATGATAGACCTGTCGTTACCATGGATACTGGCAGCCAGGGAAAACGCATGAAGACCCATTACCATGGACATGTGGACGCACACACACATTTACACGTATGTGATTTGATTCAACGACTGCTGTGAGAAAATGACGTCCACTCTGTGGCTAACATCTGAATTGGCCTACTGGGCACTAATCGCATTATTTAACACCAGGAAACCTGCAAATGTTTATGGAAACTGATTTAATGAGACCGGTTGGTCTCGAGTGGCACAAATCCAGAATAAAACATGAAACCAGCTGGCACAACCACAAGTGCTGGAATTAACGAGCACTAAACTACGAGAACCGCAAATAGAAAGATGAGCCTGTTGGTTGTGGCAGTAAAGCAGTCTGATACTTGGAGTACTGTAGCATATTGATAAATATGATGCTAATTATAAGCAGTGCCAGTTATATTTAAGACAAGGGTCTTAAATCATTGTGAAAGAACAATAATTGTAAAGATTAAATTGTAAATGTAAAATTAAATAAATATATTTTTTATATTAAATAATATAAATCAAATATTTGATTTGACATGTTTATGTAAGTATCGATAAAATATTCAAATGAAAATGTAAAGTTTAATAAATAAATGTAAAAATGAATTCAAATGAAAATGCAAAATTGAATAAAAACTGCATTAAAACATTCAAATAAAAATGTTATATTTAATAAATGAAAAATTTAAAGATTTATGGAAATATTAAAATGAAAATGTACACTTAAATAAATAATTTAAAAAATACAAATAAAAAATCTACTGTGAAATCACTAGTCAATTTGGTGTGCTATTATGTTTACTCACTTTACTGGTGAAGTTCCTGTAAGCCAGATCTGCGCAGGTTTAGCACAAATGCTCAACTCGTTTTTTTTTTTTTTTGGCTAGTAGAAGTTCTGAATGGCCGGTAACTTAAAAATTTAGTAGCCAAATTGGCCGGTGGGTAAAAAAGTTAATTTCAAACCCTGTATATATACTGTATATAAAAGACAAAAGTCAAGTCTGAAATTGTGAATGAAAGAGCAATGAATAAAGAAGTTTAATATCTTCTTTCATACTTTGTGAATAAAGATACTTTGTGACTTTCTTTCTTCATATTCCTCCTCCGAAGCACTTTGAATAATCATAAATAAATAAAGATGATATCAGTCCACTGCATTTACAGAAACAACACAGGACAAAAGAGGCATTATCGCACACCGCAAAAACAATACCAACACAAACAAGCGGGGACCAGGGACGAGAGGAACGATATGATTGCTAAGACAGCTGGTGTGGGGCCGCGAGGGTCACGCGCC